AAAAAAAAACATAAACATAAACAAAAAGCATTTCACGTTTAGACTATGTTACGTTTTCCTCTACCCTCTCCACTTCCCAGAGGGGGAAAAACCTGCACGACGAAAAAAAGATCAAGACTTGAAAACCTGATNCACGACGAAAAAAAGATCAAGACTGAAAACCTGAGTGCAAAGGATTTCGTGGTGCGCCCCCACGACTACTCCTCGCCAGCAGGCAAGGGGCAAACTCCGTTCCCATCCGACTTTTTCCCAACACAACAGCAGTAGCGAGAAGCAAAGAGGGGTCTCTCCTGAACCCCCCCCCCCCCGACAGTCAGTCTACACGCCAATGTCGTTCGCGGTGTTGTTCACCACGTCGACCAGATGTGTTCTGTTTCTCTGCTGAAGGAGGGTCTTGCTCTGTGTGTTGTATGGTGTTTTATGAGGGTACGCTTCAAGTTGGACTGACGTCAGTATCCCGGGGTAATCACGAATGTGGAGGGTAGTTCCACAAATGTTTACCCGTACCGCGGGTAATTGTGCCGCCGGCATACAGAACAGGAGGATAATCTCTGTGGGGTACGGGATGTGCTACAGAACTCACAGAAGTGTAGGGTATTGTGGCACGACCGTCACAGAACCCACAGAAGTGTTAGGGTATTGTATACAGAACAAGAGGGTAATCTCTGTGGGGTACCGTGTGTGCTACAGAACTCAGAAGTGTAGGGTACTGTGGTGCAACCGTCACAGAACTCACAGAAGTGTAGGGTATTGTGGCGCTACGGGCACAGAACTCACAGAATTGTTCTGTAGGGTAAAACAGAGGGTAATTACCCCCGGTATAGATCTGTGGGTACCCTACAGAACCTAACCTTGTTTTCAATTTGCCCGTCGCGGGTTTCACCTAACACAAGAGTGTCGGCCTGTTGCGGCGTCGCGTGGCGGCGGGATATTTGAACTTGTGCGTTCCACGTAGAATCTCACATGCTTCATTTTCCATAAATCATAGTTGGCGACACCAATATTTTTTGGGGAAGGTCGGATCGCGATCCCTCAAGTGGATGACATGCTTTGGTATCACCCGACAGGTACCAGCTGTCAAGCCTCTCCTTCGTTGGCTTTACTCTGTGGCGAGGTGCCCGGTCTCTTTCGGCGCGCGGGTGTCCTCAGTTGTAAACCCCAGTCATTTTATGGAAAACGGTCCGGCGTTCCTAAATTTGGGTTTGTGTACCTGGCCACAAAAAAGTGCGGCGCAATCTAAACTCCTAACGCTGGCCTTGTCAGACACGTTTTCCGTCGAAAATCGAAAATCGAAAATGTCACTAATTGGACAAAAGCTCAAGTATTCGGCCGCCGGGTTTCGATCTGGAGGTAAGTCTTCCGAATATTTAATAATATAAATATACGCACAGAAAGACTACCCATTCGAGATATACCCACAGTCGAACGGGATGTAATGGAGTCTATTTCAGTGAGTGGAGGAAAACCAGCTGGGTACTGGACTTATTTCGAGTCTTTTAAAATCTGTACCCTAATGATTTGTATCATTGATGTCAGCTGGTGGTAAATACAAAAACATGTGTATAGGTAACCTACATTCTGCAATACCTCCGTAGTTCTCTACTGGGTCGAATATTCTCCGATATGGAAAAATCAAAAGCGAGCACGAACAGACTCGAAATCGAAAATCGAAAACGCCAACCGGAAAATCAAGCTGGCTGCCACACCCTCGCAGAATCGTACGTGCGTCCATTTCGATACTCGTCTAGCAACCTGTAGACTGCTTGGTGATGCAAGCAAGAGCTTGACAAAAAGCTGGCATCCAGCAGAGCACGATATATTTCTTTGAGCGAGATCTGCTCTAAGTTGAGAGAGAAAGTGATCGCCGTGAAATTATTTCTTTGTAAACGCAGTTCGACGGCAGCTATTTTTGGCTTTCCTACATCAGCAAGCAGCATGCAGTCACACATTGCTCGCTGAGTTCGCAGCGTATCGATGCAAGACAAAGACCCCCCGACCCGCCTGATCATGCACCTTGTTCGCAGCTATCGTTCGCTGTCTTGGATGCCATGTGGCTCTCATTGTCATGGTTTGAATCATCGCAACCGCCATGTACGGGCCTTGTTCGCCTCTTCCAGCTTGATTTCGATTTCGATTCCCCGCCTGCGCTGTAGAGCCAACCCGAAATCAAAAATCAAAATCCAATTTCGATTTCGAGTTTCGATGCAACATTTTTTTACGAGGTCCCTGAATGAAGCAGCAGCAACAAAACGGCCGAAGTTTGAGTATATTTATGTGCACCCGGGTACAATCCTAACAAGGGGCCCTCCATGCGGAAATAACGGAACGCCCCAATTTACGNGGGGGGGCGTACTCTTATGTTTTGCATGTCTTAGCGGTTAGACCATTGACCACGCGTCCTCGAGAGGACGGAGCATTGTTCCCACAAGATCGATCACCGATGGCCAATCGTTCCTTCCTACTTAGCCAAAAGGCGGCTCAAAAACTGTCTTCCCTGGTCTGTCTATCCTACCGATATGGGTTCCCGCCTTTTCAACCCACTTTGTATGCCCCAGTACAGCTAACGTCTTCTCCTGGCAATCACATGCCTCCAACATCTCGCTGTACCTCCTACTTTTCCCAGTTTGGTCATGAACACTTCCCTCTCCTACTTGTACAGCCGACATTCTGCGACTACATGAACACGGTCTTCGCGCTCGGAGCCGCAATCACATTTGAACTTGGCGTCTTCATGGTCTACCTTCCTATATCTTCGGCTACGTTCTCGAAGTCAATATCCCGGGTCCTGTCCCCGGAGGGGGNCAAGCGCGAAGCGCCGTGAGATATTCGGCGAGTCGCATGAAGGGTGCGCTGCATCCTGCTAAGGGTGTTCGGCATCTTTTGCTTATTTCCTTGTGTACGGATGACAGCCGCACATGGTTCTCACCGGCCCAGGCTCTCACATCACCAAGCGCGAAGCGCCGTAAGGTATTCGGCGAGTCGTATGAAGGGCGCGCCGCATCCTGCTAAGGGTTTTCGGCATCTTGTGCTTACTTCCTTGCGTACGGATGACAGCTGCGTATGACTTAATTTACTTTCTGGTGCTTTCACTTCCAGAGACAGTTGTAAGCACTGTGTAACTGCCTCGAGGGTGCTTGACCATTTTAAGACAACGTGATGCGATCATCCCCTTTGCGCGGAGTGATGGTTCTCGACCCCGCACAACAGAATCTAGTCGACCACCATTCATGGTTACCGCAAAAAAATCAAAACGAAGGCAAAAAAAAAAGCGGTAACCTGGTTGCCGAGTTCACGAAGTGAATTGGCTTGTTTTTCAACATCGCTGCCAAGCGACGAAAATCCTTCCCCGATGGCAAACACCGGTGGGCGGCGCCTTGTTTTACAGCGTCGTTGCCAAGCGGAGATAACCCAACCTTGATGGGAAACACCGGGGGGGGGGCGGTCCTGTCCTCGGGGGGGGATATTTTTACCAAGACATTTTTATCGCGCGCGTGCAGAGTCCCACACAGAGCTAGTGGGAGTTATGGAACACCCCCAGGCTACGCGTCAATCTTGGTCGCGAGGAGGTGGGTCTATTGGACAAGTGTGACGATACCTAAGCCTGTACAACAATAAAGAGTATTATATGAGTTTTAGAATGCGGCACGAAAGCCTCTAAATATCTACAATGAAGGGTATATTGGTTTACTACAGACTAAAATCCTATACAGTAGCAAGTGTGCCGCGTAAAGTGGCTATCCTGCGTGTCAATGTTGGCCCGGCGGGGGGGCGGGGGCCCCAATATTTCCACATGGAGGGCCCCTTGGTCCTTGCTAATCCCATGTATGTATCACATGCAACTAGTGTCGGTGGGCGTCAGCCTCTACGACCACGTGCAGGTATGAGCAGCACAGTTTTCCCAATATTCTCATGGCACCCCGAGGACGAACCCGTATATCTGCACCATCCGACCAACGCAGCCAGCGGCGCGGGGGGCCGGGGGGCGACCCGAAAAGAGCCACTCTCCCCCCC